CAGTCACAGGATTGCCAGTCCCAGGTAGTGGTGGAGAGGAAACACCCATTCTCTCCTCCCCTCCGTTCCTGAGTTATTGGTCAGGCTCCTGCCAGTCACTGAGGACCAGCCCACAGAGTTCCTCCCTGTGCTATAGCATGCCCAAACACAGGCTGGAAGAGAGACCCAGGCAGCCTGGGTTTGGAACAAGGACAGACTGAGAGCCATGAGAATAAATCTTTTCATTCCCAACTTCTGAGCCCTTGCCTTCCTTTGATCTCAGCAAATTCACAGAAAACTTGCCCTGGGCAGGGAACCCCCTCGTACTGGAGCTACAGGAATCCTCTTCCCACTTACCCCATGTTTTCCTGATAAAACACTTTTTGACTCACCACCCTCACCCACTCCCCTTACCCTTTCTTACTAGTTGGAAGGTGAGGAGAGGTAAAACTAAACAAAAAGCAAATAAGTATAAACATACAAATAAGAATTAAATAAATAGACAAAACAGCTAGTACACCAGATAAGTGCTAGAGAGAACTAAAAGGCAGGAGAGACAGATGGAGCTTGTTGGGTGGTGAGAAGAAGTTACAATTTACAATTAAGTGATCAAGGCTTTATAGGAAAGGTGAACTTGAAGAAGGAACAGAGGTAGGTGTGGGAGAGAGCAAGGTGCATATCTGGGGAATGATGTTTCAAGCAGAGGGAACAGTCAGATGGGAGGCACTAAGGCACAAGCGGACTTGGACTAACAAGGAACAGAATGTCAGTGCGTGCAGGGCAGAGCCAGCAAAATGGAGAGAAGGAGGTGAAGTCAGGAAGGAAGTGAAGCCCAGGTTGCTAGGGATGTGGAGGCATTTGGGTTTTTGCTTTGAGAAAGCCATTGAAGAGGTCTGAGTGATATGATGAGTTATACTTTAACAAGATCTCTGTGGATGTCATGTTGATTAGAGGTAGAAGAATAAAGACAAGATCACAGAGACCAAGAATTGATTCAAAGAAGTGATTTGCTCAAAGATGTGCCTTCGACTCAGTGAAGATGTAGAGCAGGGATTGGCAAACAATGGCTCAGACATCAAACAGGGCTCTCAGCCTGTTTTTGTATGACCTGTAAGGTAATAGTGGTGCTTACATTTTGAAAGGTTGTTAAAGGACAAGGAACAGGAGGAGAAGCTACAGAAACTGTATACAGCTCACAAAACCTAAAATACTTAAACCCAACACCTGATATAAAGCATCAAGCCAGTTGCAGGTCCTCAACAAATTTAGGAGGAATACATGAGTAAATTAGTTGCTGAAAATATTATAAATACCTGACAAGAAACATTTATGACTCTACCCCTAAGCTTCACAAGCAATGTCATTTCCATTGAGCTACTGAAAAATTTCACCTTATTTTCAAAACAGTAAACCAGAAGGCATTTTCTCACATAAGCAATGTCATAAATAACTGCCAGGTAAAATTAAAATGGAAGAAATACAATAATAACAAAAACATTTATATAGACCTTTAAACTTAATAAAGCATTTTCATGTTCATTATCTAACTTAATCTTCACTTCAACCCCATGAGATAGGTACTATTTTCCACTAGAAATTACCACATCCTAAATCCTTGGTGATTTTCATGAAAGGTTGAAATTCAGAGTGACTTTTTTCCTATGGGAATGTTGGATGCTAAAATCAACAGGGATTTTTCAGTTCAAGATGGGAGACTAAGAAAACATATTCCTTTTTTGTTCCTTCTGAAAGCCATATTTACATAAAAGCATAGAAATACTAATGTTAATAAACTAATAAAAGCCAGGAGACTGTGGAAGTCATTAACCACTAAAAATTTTCAAAACATTTCTAGAAAGCAAAAAGTAAAATGGAGGAGTGATGGATAAAATCATCGCGCAAAGACTGCCCAAGAAGGGGCTGCACACAGCCCGTTGGCTTCTGCTGAGCCCTGGTTATACTAACAGGCAGAAAGGAGAATAGGGACAACGAACTGAGACAGAAGTTATTTTAGGGAAAGATGTTCATTTCATGAGCTGCATGGATCCCTTAGTCTGCCCTCATATTAACTCTGTGTGAATGACAGTGGATTGTTGGTGAGTAAGACCAGGAAATGCAGTGAGAGGGTTCAACCACAGGTTGTCGGCTGTGGTTTACTGTCACCACTACAAATTCCATCCAGGGCTGACCACTCCTTAGACTCATTTGACATAACTGGAGATTGGTGCTTCACAAATTGTCAAGTTACAAGTAACCTCATCTGGCAACTATAAAATTGTTATTATTACTAAAATATTTTTATTAACTGTCAAATAAATTATTTTTTTAAAAAACCATGTTGCTTTGACAAATTCTGTCTCCACCTGTCTGCTTCCACCAAGCCAAATTATCTCAGAACAAACATTTGCCATATAATATTCTTTTGCCTTACAAGGACAAGTAAAATATTCTATATTTCAAAAAGCATGCTGTTCATCAACTCCTCTTCTTCAGGGAAAACCAAGAGGTTTATCTTCCTGGGATATATTTGTCCAAATACCCTTTCTTTTGTTCTGAAGCTCCAACATTCATATGCTTAATGAAAATTTTCTTTGGGAAAAAATGATGGCAATAACATGACTATAATTTGTTTTCAAATAAGTCTGATGTGTGATCATCATTTTCAGAGTTCCTGTAAGAAACCTTTGTCGAAAATTTGCATCAGCTTGCTACTTTTGTTCCAACAAACAAAATCAATGGATTGTTTCCTTACTGAACTCTTCTCAAATGATATCAATACCCATTGTTATGGGTAAATGCCATAACTGTAAATCACTTCTGCTCCTGCAGAGGTTAGGAAGGGCTTACAACACTTCTTTTTCAAACAGAGTTTGAGTCTAAGCAAAACCTTTTGTGTCCTACCAACCTCACTGTTTATTGGAGATGAAGTCCAAATCTGCTCCAACATGCTATAAAAGGAATCTCAGGAGCAGAGAGCTAATATTAATTTTTCAATATATGAATTATGTCCAATGTTATGGAAAATAAAAATTTAAATATGTATGTATGCATGCATTTCATTGATCTATGTGAGTCTTGGTTCTGAAACCCCTGTAAACCATTATGTCTGATACAGAACATCAGTCCCGTGGGAGAGAAAACTCACCAATGAAGTAACCCAAGAAACAAGATTCAGCCTTGGCAAAGCCACATGTAGGCCAGGATTTTTCAAATCTTTGTCTCTGAAGCTTCCAGCTTCTGAACAATAATATATGTTTTTCTTATCCTGAACAACTAAGAGTAATTCTCTTCTCTTGGGCATAAGAATCTCCAGAGTTATATTTAGGTGCTGTTAAACTTAAAAAAAAAACTGTCGGTTATTTTACTGACAAAAGTTGTTCATTCAGGAACAACAGAGAATTGCAGTTTGAGACAAGCAAGCTATGGCAAAAGTACAGGCATGTCTGAGGAACAACTGAGAGGAGGCCATTTTATAAAAGAAAGAGTCACTGGCATGGCTGCTCATTGAGAGTTGTAGCAGTCTTACTGGCTGAGCTCTTTTGGGGGCTGCTGCTGGGGGAGACAGAAACTCTTCTTTTGGGTGTGACAGTGGCCAAGATGGAGTTGCCAGATGTCCTTCTGTTCTTTCTATGGGGTCCACGATAGACCAGGGGGGTGGGAATGAGAGCTCCCCCTGCAGGCCCCGCAACTCCACCTCCCTTCAGCTTCTCTACCAATTATCACTATGCCAATACTGTGTAGGGAACGGCAGCCCCAGCTGACAGGCTCACAAGGACCAAATTGTGCAGATCTGACTTAAGCTAATAAATACATTGTACCACTACAACTTGCAATAAATGAGACATTTGCTTTCTAGACATGAATGAGATGTGATTTAGTCCAAGAAGGCCAGAGAAACTGGCTTTTATTCCACATGGAATAATCCACTGATAAATCTCTTTCAGGACAGACCAAAATTTACATAAAATATAATTTTTAGACATTTGGATTCTTCAAACTAGACCAAAGAGAAAATCTGGGCTTTAAGGCTCAATTAAAGTGGGATAGTGCTATGCTGACAACTGGCAGTCCCTAACCTACTTTCTGAGAAGCAAAGAAAGGACCTGCCTGTTAGGAAGGATGTTGTGGGCTGCCTTGTCCAGTAAGGTGCAGCCTCCAGTCCTCTCCTCTGAAATCACCTGCTTGGCTGGTGGCTGCAGAGAAGGCGGGTCTGGCTCCAAGCCTCCTGGAGAAGCTGGGAAGGCCCGGGTGAGGTGTGGCTTTGAGCAGGCCCTGGCCTCTGGAACCCTGGGGGCACCAGGCTGGCCACCACACACTGGGTGCTGAGGGACCTGCAGAGCCAGGGCCCAGATGGTGTGAGTGCTGATGGATGCACCCACTGCAACACTGAATGGTCCCTCATGGTGGTCTACCTGGTGCCCACCACCTGCAACTGTCAGTGGGCGGTCCCAGGTGCTGGAAATCCCACCATGCCCTTTGACCTTTGGTGAGGTCACCTGGGGGGGGTGGGCAGCTGCCCCCAGTTGGGGGCCTTTGTGAAACATACCCAGGTGACAACTGCAGTTGCAGGGCAGCTAGCTTACTGTGTGCTTGGCCTCGAGAAGAGTCAGAAGCAACGGAGACACTCTCCTAGTTTCATACTCTACTCTTGGATCCTTTAGCACACAACTGATTGTCTGTATGGGCAATTTCCTTCCTAAGTTCAGTGCCCCATCCCCCTACCATCCCCAGGCCCGCCATCGTTGTTGTCTGCTTCTCCCGCCCAGGACACTGCCCCTTCTGCCAGGGAGCACCCTGCTGTTCCTGCACCTGCCGACTGCAATGGTTGTGGGCTGATCCGCCCGGATCATGTGCCACAATCAGGGGGCTTTTCTATCCAGCTGCAGAGGTGATATCCTATCCAGCAGTCCAGATGCTCCCCTCTGGGCGTCCAGCCCTTGATGAACTGGAAAGATCCACCAAAGAAGCCCACCCTCTCAGCGTGTAATTCCAGGATGTTCAGACACTTACTAGCCAGGAGCATGGCTTCTCTTTCAGGGAAGATATGTACTCTCCTGCATATACGACCTGAGCAGGTAGCCAAGGCTGGGAAGCCAGTGCCAGCCATTCACCTCCCACTTCCTCATCCAGAAGTGGAGGTCCAAAAGGAGCCTGCAGAAGGGGTGACAGAAGAGGAGGGGGATCACGTAGAGCCCACAGGGCAGGATGATGAGAACAGGGGCCCCCATGGCAGTGGGGATATGTTATTTACATCTAGGCCCCTAGACACCAGCAGAGTTCTCACCTCCCTGGAGTGCAGGCCGGGGCCTCTGGACCACCATCCTAGACCCCCAGAAGTTGGCTTGAGTGAGACCACCCAGATGTCTCAGGTGAGCTCCTCCTCTGAAGACCATATGGCCGCCGCTTCTTGCAGCCCTTATGGAGATGTCCCGCCTCCTGGAAGGCTTGATCCAGAAGCAGCAGTGCTCTCTGAACCAACTTCATGCTGCTCCTGGCTGCCGGAGGCATGCACGGAGGCAGTGCCAGGTGAAGATCATCAGCCAAGCTCTGCAGACTCACTGCCGTCTGGGAAGAAGACGCAGGGCATGAAGCCTGCAGTCATGCCATCCAGGAGCTCTTTGCCAGGACCTGCCAGCAGCAGGTCCCACATGAGGAAAGCGTTCATGCCTCTGGCGCTCCTGTTGCTGTAGCCACTGCCACTATCAGCACCATGGGATGACAGGGAGCTTCCCCCATGTCCTAGCCTTCCTTGCTTAGCTGTTGCCCAAAACCTGAGCAACCTGGAGAAGAGCACTGACTGTCAGAGAAACAAAAACTTGGAGGATAAAATAGAGGTTATGGCTGATGGCAGCGCCACTCAGCCTGCCCCTTCCTCCTCCCCACCTGCCCCAGAGACTGTAGGCTCCAGGCCCTTGACCACTCATACCTTAGAGGTCCCTGCAGTGGGAATTCCACAGCATGCCCGGCAGTTGGGACAGAAGCTCGCTTCCAGCTCACTGCTTCCCTCAATAACTCTGTTCTCACTGTCCCATCAGTCACTTCCACTGCAGGCCATCCCACTATGGCCACCAAGGCACCTGCAGGCTTGCCCCCGACCTACTTCAGATCCTGCTATGAACATGGACACAACTCCCCCTTCCCATGCTGCCATCTTCACACTTCTCCCCCAGACTTCACAGGGAGACTGAACCACAGGCACCCTGCAAACTACCAGTCCCTACCAACCCACTTTTGTTGATCCCTAGCCATGCCCTAATTTTTAACCACCCCACTGGCCCCCAAGCCACCACTCAGCCCACAACTGGGATTCTTAATGGGCAGCCCCAGAAAGCCCATCTCCCCAAGGTTCTTGCATTCTCCGGCTCATTCCTCATGGCTCCTTCAGTCTGCCACAATGCAGCAGGCGGCACCTCTGCAAACACTACTGTTGATGATGATACCACGACATATCACCACCTTCCCAGGCTGTCATTTTCCATCCTCCCCATCTCTGGGACAAATCACTTCCTGGCTTTCATGGTACCTCCTGGATCTCAGAACAAATCAGGCAGTGGCTGTATTGCTTCAGCCCATGTCTCCACCTTTTTACCTTCCAAAGTAGCTGGCAGAAAAAATGCAATTTCCACCCATCTCTCTAACCCAATAATCTGACTTCCAAGCACTTCTTGGAACTCTGATGGGAAGAAGCCAAAAAACCTCTCAGAAAACAGGTGGCCCCAGGCTCTCTTGCCACCCAGTCACCCAGAGGCAGCAAAATGCAACCAAACCTCGCAGGTATCACATTGCCAGTTCCTGCATTTGGCACCCCTGTCAACACCCAGCCAGCCTTTGGTATTCCCAGTGGCAACACCAGTGCACTTAGATTTCCTACCAGCATACCCAGGAGTTGGGAAAGAAGCTGTTTACAGGTACCCCACCAGGCCCACTCATGCTGGCAGCCCCTGCAGCCCCTATGGATGGGGGAACACCAGGGCTCAGTGTGCCTGCCCTGGGCCCCTCTCATCCACAGGCATCCCAAACAGTCAGCAAGGAGTCACACAGGAAGAGCGAATGTGGCACTTGTATTCCTCCTCACAGTGAGATAACGGGGACGCTGTATGGCCACAGCATGGCTACCCCAGGAGGACAGGAAAACACCTCCACGGCAGCTGCTGCAGCCCCTGTGAATGGAAGGAAACCAGGGCTCAGTGTGCCTGCCCCAGGCCCCACTCATCCACAGGCATCCCAGTCAGCAAGAAGTCACACAGGAAGAGCGAATGTGGCACTCGTACTCCTCTTCACAGTGAGATAATGGGGGCTCTATAGGGCCACAGCATGGCTGCGCCAGGAGGACAGGCAAGTAGCTCAATGGTAGGACACCCTATGAAGACCACCTTAAATCTAAGCATGTGGGCTCCCCAGTCCTAAACAAAGATGGTGCAGCAACAGGAGGCCACCCTACTGTCCCCATGATGGGAGGCCACAGTATCCCCACACTCCATCAGTGTGCCTGGAGCCCAGCTTGACATGTAAGATCTCCTATGTGTGGAGGGACCACCATCATGAAAAACAAATGTGGGTCAAAACCATGCCTGCTAACACCTCCCATCAGGGTAGCAGGGGCTCACCTGGGCATACCAAAATGCCACCAAACAGGCCAGCACTGTTGCTGTGCCCAACTACCCATTTCTAGTTCCACCTTCATACCCAGCACCTGGGGCACACCTGCCCAGAAAGGTGCAAAGGAAAAGGACAACATCATTCCTATGATTGGAACCCCTGGTGTTCCTGGTTTCCATCAGCACAGCTGGTGCCCACCTGGCCAGGACACAGGTGACACAATTGAAGGGAAAAACATCTCACCTGTAATAGGAGAGCCCTGTGTCACCACCTGCCAGTTCAACACTTGGAACCCACCTGCCCAGAGCACAGGTGGTGGTATGGGCCATAGCACCATTCCTGCTATGACTGGATAGACTCATGGACACCATCAATACAGTGCACCTGGGGCCCTGCTAGCCAAAAACTGCGGGTGGTGCAATGCGGGATAGTACCGCACGTTTTTTGTTTTTTGTTGTTTTTTTTTGAGAGGGCATCTCTCATATTTATTGATCAAATGGTTGTTAACAATAAAATTCTGTATAGGGGACTCAATGCACAATCATTAGTCAACCCCAAGCCTAATTCTCAACAGTCTCCAATCTTCTGAAGCATAACAAACAAGTTCTTACATGGTGAACAAGTTCTTACATAGTGAATAAGTTCTTACATGGTGAACAGTACAAGGGCATTCATCACAGAAACTTTTGGTTCTAATCACGCATTATGAACTATAAACAATCAGGTCAAATATGAATATTCGTTTGATTTTTATACTTGATTTATATGTGGATCCCACATTTCTCCCTTTATTATTATTATTATTTTTATTTTTAATAAACTGCTGAAGTGGTAGGTAGATGGAAGATAAAGGTAGAAAACATAGTTTAGTGTTGTAAGAGAGCAATTGTAGATGATCAGGTGTGTGCCTATAGACTAAGAATTAATCCAAGCTAGACAAGGGCAACAAAACATCCACGGATGCAGAAGATTTTTCTCAAGACAGCGGGGGTGAGGTTCCAAGCCTCACCTCTGTTAATCCCCAATTTTTCACCTGATGGCCCTCCTGCGACTGTGCCTGTCTTAAGTTGTTCCTCCCTTGAGGAATCTTACCCGTCTCTGGCTAACAGTACCATGTTTTTAAAAAGAAACTATTCTCAGCCCAAACACCTGCCCCTGCCCTGACCAACAGCAGGTAGCCCTCTGACTGTAGGAGCCATCAGCATCTTTAGAGGCTTCTGGTCAAACAGCCATGCCTGGACTCTGGGCACAGCAAGCTGCACTTGGCCTTTAGGGCCCCCTCAGTGCCTGACCAGAGCTTCACAGGAACCACCATCCGATTCTGTCCTCCCACCAGGAATCTCAATAGTGAAGATGATGTTTGTCTGCAATCGGTATGTAGCATGAATAGACTTTGATCTACTAGAAAGACGATCTGATTTTTATGGAAATTCTACCTGCTTTCTTCCTACAGCAAGCCAGAAGCCCACACCTCAAGAGTGTGTATGTTATAAGGACAGTTTTCTCTAGTCTTGGAACTAACAAGGCCAAAATAACTAAATCAATTAATAAACTAGCTGTTTATAGGTGTTTAATTTCTTCCTGTCCATTTACCAAAATATATCTAAGAGTGTGTATGTTGTAAGGACAGTTTTCTCTAGTCTTGGAACTAAGGAGACTAATAATAACCATCTAACTAATAAGCTAGCTGTTTATAGGTGCTTCATTTCCTCCTGTCCATTTAGCAAAATGGGCCTTAATCTTTCCAAGATTATGCATATGCCTTATATATTCATATTAAAGCTTGTTCTTGTTAATCTGCCTCCGCTCTGTCTTTACTCTCTGTCTCAGTTACAGAGGAAGAATTGACACATGTGAAGGGTGATGTTTTGAGCCAGACTTAACTATGCAAAATTTTTTGTGGCCCAGTGACTGGGATGTGGAAGTAGCCATACCTTATGACTGCACATGCTGACTCCTGAAATCTGTGTGCTGACTGTAAGGGCTGACAGTCCAGGGGGAAGGAAAGTCCCCCTGGAGGGAGAGAATGGGTTGGCCCTTCCCTCCTCTCTCCCACGGCTCTAAGCTCACTGGAGGCTAGGTAATCCTTGCTGTGGCATAGGAAATGACTCTGTAATTTTACTTATTTTTTTTTAATGTTTCAATTTTGTGTGTGTGTCTAATGTAATTTAGACTTTGGCCAATCATCCTCACATATTCCCACTTCACCCTGAAAGCAAAGATTTGGCATCCCGGTTCTTGACTCTGGAGGAACAATGGAAGAAAGAGCTCCTGCCTGCTATATGATTACTGTCAATTTAAATTTACTTAGACTTTATCATGCAGCTTAAAAATATCATAAAAGATCCTCTTTAATAACTGACCTGACTCTCACCTAACCTGCTAAAATATCAAATCACATGAATTTTAATTTGTCCTCTCTGGCTGACCCTAGAGTTCTGCAGGGTCTCCACCAGACTTAATAAAGGCAGAATTCCTGACTTTGTGTACCTACATTCTAGCTAGAGAGGAGAAAAGAAACAATGAACATTTATAAATTTTCTGGTAGGTTAGCTAGTAACAATGCTATGAAGAATAAAGCAGCATATGGGGATTGATATTGCAGGCAGAGAAAAGCAGGGCTTTCAATTTAAACGGGACCGGATAAGCCTCGCTAGGGAGGTAGGATTTGAACAGTCTAGGAGGAGGTGATTGAATCGGGTATCTGAGGGAAAAGCATCCCAGGCAATGGGAGTAATTACTGCAAAAGCCAAGAGGGAGGATACCAGTGATCTTCAGGGAGCAGCTAGTAGGCTAATGTGGCTAGAATAGAGTCAGCAAGTGGGAGGGAGGGAGAGGAGGAGGACAGAGATGTGGGCTGACATCCCTGCACCTGCTGGTTTTGTCACCACACACAATTGACTCAACCGTGTCTCAGTGAACTCAGTGCTTTCTCTGTGGCCTATTTACCTTGCAAGAGTTTCGAAAGACAATGTAGGCAAGTAATTTATAAGCCATGTTATTATTCTATACATAAAGATAGATGGATGGATAGATAAGAGTTATGGGCTAACTTTTGGGGCTCCCCCCACAAAATTCATATTTGAACTGA